GGGAGAAATAGGAGAATGCACGAGAATGTGTGCATGCATGTGTACCTGTGTGCCAGTTTAAGGTGTAGAACCGGTGTGGCGGGGGATGAAGAAATGGAAGGCAGTGAATACCCAGATGTCAATGAACAACCAATGGACGCATTAAATGGGAATCAATAGTTTGCTGATATTGATATTATCAAACTGATGCTTCAGTAACCATTCAACCACCGGAATGCCAACCGCCCTCCCTTTTTCGGGAGCCTTATTACTGATAACGTAATCGTCCCCTGGGCACACGTCGGTTTACCTTTGTCATCGCGAATAAAATCGATTCGTGATATTTACGCAAAACGAATGATCGGGAAAAAACAATCCGTTTTCACTCCAAGTGGCACGAAACGATACAGTTATAAGTGGAGTTCATGTGACCCGATCGATGACTTCTAAAGGGTTTGAATTGAACAGATCGATTTTCAAAACAACAACAGAAGTAGACACGGTTTTGATAGAATGGAAAGAAATTAAACCGAATAATGGATTGCAGGTAGTTCCAGTTGAATCTAATCTGAGGTATCTGTAGATATCAATAAATTTCAGGTGGCATGAAATGATATTAAAACTATAATATCACTCTGCAGACATAAAATGAGAACAGTACGGCAGTAAATTTAGCATTGAATAGGTCAGAACATTCACTTCTACAATTGTCAATTATCATGTTATCCGAAACATTTGAGAGTGGGTATCTTTAAAATTAATTATTTTATACTTGTTAGCGGCTAGAATTAGAAAAGTAGTTTCAATACTGAGTGAAAGCGAAGCGATCAAAAGTGAAATGAATGACGCGGAAACGATGTGCAGTTGGATACAGTTGGACAGCAGTAGTGAAACGGTTAATCTCATCGCACCACCAGGGGTCGAACCCAGGACCTCGGAAATATCCTCTGCTAAACCATCCAAGAAGTAGACTAATGAATATTCTGAACATACCAGTCCACAATTTTGACTCAGTGTGCAAAGTTGTGACCGTTCGGATTGCCAGCACTGAGGATTTCCTTCCACTTGACTGGCGATGACAATTTTGCTGGTGAATTGCCGAACTTTATGAATCGAACCACGAAAGCCAACTGAATCAAATGGAAATACTTATGTCTAACAGTTTCACTTCGCCGAAGCTATATCGGTGCATTTTCCTGGGCCGCCAAAATTCGGTCAAAATGCCATTAGGTTGACTTTTATCAACAAAGAGTTTTACTTCGTATGCGATGGAAATATTTATGATAACCAACAAAGAGCACTGGACAGCGTTTCGTCCTATTTGGGACTCATCAGCAGTGTGTATTTTTTGTGTCTCTGTCAGGAATCTAACCGCTATCAGTCGGGTCGGGACTGCAAACTCTTACCCCAAGCTTGATACTCTAAGTTTTACTTCGTATTTTCATTTCCTGTTTCACTGATTCACCGTTTACAGATACTACGAAACCGGAAGCATTCGGCCAGGAATTATCGGCGGGTCGAAACCGAAAGTGGCCACTCCCTCAGTGGTGGATGCCATTTGTAAGTACAAGGAGGACAGTCCAACCATGTTCGCCTGGGAGATACGGGACCGGTTGCTGAAAGATCAAATATGTACACCGGAAAACGTACCCTCAGTATCATCCATCAATCGTATCGTACGAAATAAGGTGAGTTGTTTAAAAGGAGGTTGTCAACTTGCCGTAACAGCCCTCATAGGATGAGCAACTAACAGTTCACGTTGATGACTGCATGTCTACATTCTGCTGTTATAAGCGCGTCTGTTCTTTTTGTTATGCATAACGCCGATGAAGGTCGCATAGTTTTATCCCGAAATAAAAGTCGCTGGCTCCGCGTAGCTCAGCGGTTTTGAAATCGAAAAAGAAAATTCATGATTGAAGGCCCGATTGAGACATAAAAAGAACATGCCTCAGTTAAAACAACCAAACAATAAACATTTGCCGCGATTTGGTTTGCTGTCTTTTGGCTGTCCATATAGATAAAGGCATAAGTGGGGGATGAAATACTAAAAGCAGTATCGACGGGGAAAATTTAGAATTTTCGAAAACTAGGTTCGCATGGACACTGGGTATAAGCATTAGCGACAGTTTCTTCGACATTCAGCCAGATCACGCAGTGTTTCTAATCATCAGTCTCGCTGATTCCGAGGTCATCATTCGGGAAGACTGCCGCGACCTATATCAGTAGGTCCCCTGTTCAGGGTTTCCATACTTTCACGGAAGATTCCCATAAGAATATCAAAAGCAAAACAGCATGGCGAACAAGCTTGTTTTCATAACTTCGTCTTCAGGCCTTTACAGTTATATGTGCGTGTTTATTTCTAATGTAGAAATAAATGTGATTGGACCATAGAGGTTCAGTATGAAAATGCAACAATGTCTATCAAGTTTAATCAGGACGAGTGGATAAAATGGGAACAGTAGGCGAAAGGGAGGGGGAGGTCAAGTCTGGAATTTTCGTAGCCAAACTGGAAAACAACGAACTACGAGACATCATACATCAACTCCCGCTATACTGCCATTATGTCGACGATATTTTTATCCTTTCCGACAAAAGTATTTTATCGAACATAATATTGGATCGTTTTAACCGAGCTCATCCGTCAATCGACTTTACAATGAAAACAGAAAATGAGGATACGTTCCACTTCCTCGTAGTCAACTTGAAGAAGAGGCCCAGTGGAAAGTTATCCCGTTCTATTTTTCGAAAGCCAACATGGAACGGCCAATACACCCATTTTCAAAGTTTCGTCCAAATCAAATTTAAACGAAACTTAGTCCAATGTTTGGCCTTCAGAACTCAAATGATTTGCTCCAAGGACCTAGTGGAGGAAGAACTTAAATTTATCAAATCCTCACTCCTTAATAACGGATACCCGGAGCGGTTCATCGAGAAGAACCTCGTAGAAAAGCCCACAATGCCTAAACCAAGCACGGCCAAAAAGAAAAAACTATTCTTGCATCTCCCGTTCAAATGAGAATCGAGTGGTGATATA